ACACAGTCTGTCTCAAAACTTTCATAAAATGCTTAGGTCAGAAGTAGAAAGTAGTTTCAGGTTGGTGTACATGTGAATGGGAAGTATTGTTCTTGTATCACTTAAAAGCTTCTGGGCGAGTTTCTGGAAAGTAGCTTTGGGGCTACTACACAATGATTAGCTGCTAATGAAATTCTAACAACAACAGATTTAAAACATTTGTTATTCAAATGTGAAAGCACAAACATTGCTGGTTTGCGCTTCCTGTTAAATTCCCTTTGAATGTCTTTAGTTATTTAAACACTGCCTGCTAAGCAGCTTGTCAGTAAAACCTCCCTCCAAGTGGGAGATGCCATCAGCCTGTGAATGAATGATGGCGTCTGGGTGAGGAATTCCCTCTGTTTTCTGAGGCGGCAGTGATGCTTCTCAGACATGCTTTGAAAATGTGTCTTAGTTCTGAGCTAAGCCGGGCATTTGGCAGCCCGAGTTTGGCTTTTGGATCTCCAGGTTATGATTTTGTCAAGAGTCAGGGATGTGCACTGGCTCCGTTGGGCTCCGCATGGAGGGGTCTGGTCCGCAGCCCAGTTGCCTTTCCAGCGCTAACCAAGAGCAAAGCTGGGCTCTGGTTTCATCTCCCTGGAGACCAGAAGAGCATGTAGTTCTCATGGGCTTGATTTCCCACTTTCAAAATGGGGCCTTGTCCTGCCCCTCTCAATGGAGAGAGAGCGCGTTTATTCAAGCAGATGTTGAAAGATGAAGTTTCAGAAAGGAGAAATGTCATGATTGCTGTGATAGTTATGTCAGATTTTTAAGAATGTGATACTCTCTAAGAAATTTGCAAACCTAAGTAGGGATTCTTTCAGATGGCTTAACGTTTCTTGAAACCAAATGTCAATACAAGGATTTTGGGGGAAAAAAATTCATGTTACTTGATACAGATGCCTGTGCTGATTGAAGAGGAAAGTGTTCTCCGTCATCTTGGTTATGGTAGGGGTCAACAAACTGTGTATGTCCCTGAGCCAAACCAGCCTACCGCCTGTTTTTATGAATACATTTTATTGGAACACAGCCAGGTCCATTCATTTATGTGGTGCCGGTGGCTGCTTTCCTACTGTAAACTCAGACTTGTGTAGTAAGGACAAAGCCTTCCTGGGCTGAAAAACCTGAAATATTCACCAACTGGCCCATGTCCATTCTCAGCTTAAAGCAATGAGTCTACAGATCCGACTCTATTACTAGGTTCTGGGGCTGTGGGAAAGTTATTTAATTCCTCTAAGCTTTAGTTTCCTCATTTATGAAATGGAGAGTGCTGAGGATTAAAATTTTAAATTAGATAAGGTATTTAAAGCCATCGCTCCAGGCCCTACAAATAGTGTGGAGAGGCCCCCCATAAAGCACTTAGAACAATGCCTGGCATGTAGCAAGTGGTGGGGAAATATGCAAGCCTAGAAAATAGCTCATTATTTTTGGGTTTGGCTTAATTATTCTTGTCTTCTGTCACTTTGCGGCCATTGCTCTGGAGCTGTTGGAATCCCAGTGTTTTCCTACCCTCTGTTCTGCCAGATGGCAGCTCTGATTCCTACAAGGAGGCTCTAAATGACTATTGAGATTTCGTGAATGGAGTAGTTGGGAAGAAAGTAGGTGACACCATATGATAAGGTGTGAGGAACACAGGAATTAGCCAGTGGAGTCACAGTCCCTGCAGCCGGACAGCACATGGAATGTAGCCTCTGGAATCTGAAATGCCTGCGTTGTCCTGCTCTACTGTTGACTAAATGTATAACCGAACTCAGCAAGTCAGCTTACCTTTCTCTTCATGGGTTGAACTTAATAATGGCAAGCCATAAGCTTGTGAGCACGTGCTGGGATCAGATGAGGACATGCTGGGCTTCATGCATGTCAGCTGCTGGCCATGCTGCTGTGTAAGGATGGGGTGGGATGAGAACTGGCGTTAGAGGTGTGGGTGTCTGCACACTATGTTCCCTGGGCATTTCTGCTCTTTGCTCAAATGTCAGTGAGACCTTCCCTGACTGCCCATATTAAAATCTTATTAAAATATTATTGATTTTTCTCCACGTAAAATGTCACTGTGTACATGCCCGTGTGTCATTTACTGGTTTGTTAGCTGTTTCCCCCCATTCCTGTGAGTTCCAGGATAAGGATATTTGTCTGTTTTGTTCACTGATAGGTTCTTGATGTCTATACTAGTTTCAGATACATAGTAGATGTTTGTTAAATATCTGATGAATGAAAGATTAGAGGCCAGAGGGCCTAGTTGTGGTCCTAGAAGTACCCTACTCAGTTTGGGTGGGATTAGCTGTGGCTAGAGGAACAGGTGGCAAATAGACTCACGAACTTGAGCAGCTATTGTGGTCAGACACAGTAGGGACATTACCAAGGGCAGTTGTACAGTATTAAAGAATTGGCTGGGGACAGTAGCTTGTTCCTATAATTCCAGCATTTGGGAGGCTGAGGTGGGCAGATTGCTCTAGCCTAAGAGTTTGAGACCAGTCTGGATAACATAGCAAGATAGTTTCTCTATAAAAAATTTTAAAATGACCTGGGTATGGTGGCAGGTCCCTGTAGTCCCAGCTACTCAGGAGGCTTCATCAGGAGGGTCACTTGAGCCTGGAGTCTGAGGTTGCAGGGAGCTGTAGTGACACCACTGCACTCTAGCCTGGGCAACAGAGTAAGACCCTATCTCCAAAAAAAAAAAAAAAAAAAAAAGAAAGAAAAGAAAAGAAAAAGAACGCAGATTTATAGAAAAGCTTCATACCTTTAAGGTACGTACAACAGGCGAATTGTGTACATGAGAAGAGGTTTTTAGACTTTTTTTTTTATTGCAGGGGGGACTGTGTTCTGGCCCATGCACAGCCTCTGCAAGGTAGCTGTGGCAATCAAAGCCAGTGTTTGAGGAGGGGGCATGGGGCACATGGGGCTCTTTATTGTCCTTAGTGCTGAGAAGGATGGTGACTGCCTGTGGCCAAATAGTGAACCCTTAACCCTTAGAAAGCTGGACCAACCAACTTATGAGAGTCAAAGTGAGGAGTAGGCCCTCCTCCCGATTCCCACAAGCTCCAAGTAACAGTATTCAAACTTCTCTCTCTTGTTTTTCTGTTCTTGATTCAGAAGCTCAGACATTTAGAAAGAACAGGGCTGAGCATGGTGGCTCACACCTGTAATCCTTGCACTCTAGGAGGCCAAGGGCACTGGATCACATGAGCTCAGTTTAAGACCAGCCTAGGCAAGAGCGAGAACCCCCCCACACACACACACTAAAAATCTAGCAAGGTGTTGTGATGGACACCTGTAGTCCCAGCTGCTCGGGAGACTGAGACAGGAAGATCACTTCAGCCCAACAGTTATAGCTTGCTATGACACCAGGGCACAGAGACTGACTCTGTCTTAAAAAAAAAAAAAAAAAGAAGAAGAAGAAGAAGAAAGAAAGGAGAGCAGAAGGTGAAGAGATGTTTTTTTCAAAGGAGATGTGTTTAGGAATGAGAATATTTAGTTGTTTCCTTTTACAAGACCCAACTTGATTCAGTAGAAGGAATTGTTTGAGGGCCAGGCCTGTGTTCTATACAAAATTGGATTTTTAGTCTCTAAAATATTGCCAGCCACATAAGAGAAAGAATGACTAAAAATTGAACAAGTATATGGGTGAGGTTTATTTGAGGCTGTTAATAGTAGCATTTTCTGACTAATGTAGGATTTCCTTATATAAGCTTACTTCATTTTTAACATACTCTATAACAATTTGCAGTCAATCATCTTAGGAAAGAAGCAGCTGTGAACTAAAATGCACACAGCAATGATGGGTGCAAACTAAATGTTTCTGTTCTCTGAGTCCAGGTGGCAGGAAGCATCTGTGGGCACATAGATAATGGGAGGGACCATGTTGTACCAAGCCAAAGGCATGATACCCAGATACAGAGTCCTGCTCTGGGCCGGAGTCAGCAAGACAATCATGTGAATATTGGTTGTCCATGAGGAGCTCCAAGCAGTGAGCTCAGGAACTCTGCTTTTCCAGAGTGAAGGGCTTTGGCTGGCCATGGAAATAGAGATCAGTACCCCATGGTACCAGCACACCTACCTTCCCAGACCTGCTAGGGAGCTCTCAGAGATTGTCCTCCAGAAAGCTGCCATGGCACTTGCTGCAGCAGAGACTCCAAATTTGGACACAAGGTGTCAATAGGGTTATACGTTGACAAGTGATATGAGGGAGCTTGGTTCAGAGAATCCATCTGGTACCCAAGAACATACACTTGGGATTTCTCAGGATGCCTGAGCTGCTGAACTCCTGGACACTCTGAGCCTACAAAAGGAGCCTATGACTCTCCATACTAAAATCAAAGAGCTAGCGCACACTGTAGTGCAATGCTTTAGAGAGCTGACCGGTTAATGATGTCTGAAACACAGAAGTCCATATTTATTTCTTTAGCACAGGACAAACTTTATTAGAAAGTTAGAGACGGGTGCAGGGGCTCATGCCTGGAATCCTAGCACTTTGAGGGGGCCAATGTGGAAGGATTTCTTGAGGTCAGGAGTTCCAGACCAGACTGAACAAGAGACCCATCTCTACCAAAAAAAAAAACAAACAGAAAAATTAGCTGGGCGCGGCAGTGTATCCCTGTAGTCCCAGCTACTCATGAGACTGAGGCAGGAGGATTGCTTGAGCCTAGGCAGTTGCAGTGAGCTATGATGATACCACTGTAATTTAGCCCAGATAACAGAGTAAAACCCTGTCTCAAAAAAAAGAAAGGTGGGAAGGGAGGGAGCAAATAAGTTAGTTATATAGGAGGTGATGCTTGGTGGAAATTCATCGCACCCTCAAAGTAATCCCGTTCTTCCCACCCTGTCTCAAAAAAGAAAGAAAGAAAGAAAGAAACAGAAAAAAGAAAAGAAAGACAGACAGGAAAGAAATACAAAAAGAAAGGGAAGGAAGGAAGTTATCTAGGGGTGATGGCTGGGGGGTCCTTTGCACCCCTGAGTAACGCTGCTCTTCCCGCCCCGTTCTCCAGCATGGGCTACTGCATCCTTTTCGTGCATGGACTGAGCAGGCTCTGCACTTGGCTGAACCGGTGTGGAGCCACCACCCTGATGGTGTCCACTGTGCTGCTGCTGTTGCTCTTCTCTTGGAAAACTGTGAAGCAGAATGAAATTTGGCTGTCGAGAGAGTCCCTGTTCAGGTATGATTAGAGGGAGAAAAGTAGGGCGGTGCCTGTGGCTCAGAGGGTAAAGCGCCGGCCCCTTATACTGAGGGTGGCGGGTTCAAACCCAGCCCCAGCCAAACTGCAACGAAAAAATAGCCGGGCGTTGTGGTGGGCACCTGTGGTCCCAGCTACTTGGGAGGCAGAGGCAGGAGAATTGCCTAAGCCCAGGAGTTGGAGGTTGCTGTGAGCTGTGATGCCACAGCACTCTGCCGAGGGTGACAAAGTGAGACTCTGTCTCTTAAAAAAAAAAAAAAAAAAAAAGGGAGAAAAGTAATTCTCCTCCCCTTTCTTGGTCTGCCTGTGTTTTGTTTCCAAACAAATGAGTAACCTGCCTCGCGCAGTATTTATTAATCCAGAAAATTATCTTCAGTAAAATTTTAAGTGGAAGATGTAATTCTACTTTGGGTTTTATATAATTTTTTCCAATGACGTATAAAATTTAACGCGAGCACATTTTAAGGGAATTTATGAAAGTAAGCCCCTTGGGAAGGTTTCTCGGTGTGTGAATTCCGACGGAAACGGTGTTAATGATGAGCTGGGCTGTAAAATCGGCTATAAATAAAATGAAACCGATAAGCCTAATTTCATCGTTCAGTCAAGGGAACAAGAAAGGTGAACACACACCCAGAAGCAAGAGAAATGCAGTTCATTTCTTTCCCATATTCCACCATGTTAAATAGTGATCCGCCAGCCAGCTGCTTTATTTTGAATGTTAACTTGGGGTGAGGACGTGAAAGGCTTTTTTTAATCTCCGGGTAGGTTTTTTCTGTGGTGTAGAAGCTGCTTCTGAACATAACAGTGTCCCATTCTGACCCTAAACTTGTCATTACATGTACACATTCTTTGGGACTGCTGGTCATGACGCTGTGTTTCTGGAGCTCAGTCTATCTTCACTAATGCCTGGGGACCTTGACGCAGGCTTTTAGGAACCGCCACACCTGACACCACCGTAGTATTTGAGCTGTCTCCCCGTGGTCTCCATCTGGGCCCTCTTCCACCTTCTGTCCTCATTTACAACCCAAGGGGCTGATTCCGTCAACACGGCTTTGACTTGCTTCCCTGCCCAGCTGGCACCCAATACTTACTCTTTGGGGGCAAACAACTGAAACAGCATGGGAAGCCCATGAGAGAAAGGGAACCATTGGAAGAGTGTGGGAAGCATTCAGAAGTGCAGAAACTGCGTGCCGCTGGCAAGAAGCAGGCATCTGGACAGCGCATCTTGAGCACCCTCTTAGGAACAAGTCTTTTTGTTTCTTCACATCAAAGTCCCAGGAAGATTAATTCCTGTGGCTGAGCTTGGGCTTAGGACATGTGCCTGCCCGTTTCCCCAGCCAAGGTCCTGAGAAGCCTGGTCTGCCCAGGAAGCCTCCTCCGACCTCCCCCCATGGAGGTGAGGCTGGCAGAGCACCTTGGCCTTCACCTTGGATCTCACTTAGCGAGGGGAGAGGGAGCCTCCCATCAGGAGATGCGAGTAGTGGAAGAAGGAAGAACAGACTCTGTGCTGCCAAAAATCAATGAATGAGTGAATGAATGAACAAATCAATAGACAAATGAACGTTTGCTGCGCTCTTCTACTACTTTATGTTATTTCTTAAAATATAAAGTTTAGGTTTATGTTCCAGAAGATTTTACAAGTCTGCCAATCTTACGCTCAATAAGATTTTACCAGTTTGCCAATCTTAAACCTATAGAGGTGAATTATTTATTCCTCTCTTCCATCAGAAGAGGCAGACACAGCATCCATCTCTCCCAGAAAAATAAAGCTAAAATATCTTATTCACAGCTCTATATCCCCTGTATTACTCAACTCACTCCTGAAATTCTCTCTTTATAAATACTTTAGCACAGCTGCTGCCGATAGTGCCGTGTTGTGCAGCTGCACGTGGCTAGAATTTTACAAGTCACATTGCTTTGGGGAGCTCCCGGGTTCAGCCCCAAGGTCCAGATCTTGTAAACAGAGAGAAATAAAGGTTCACTGGGCTGCCAGAAAAGCACGCTGGATGCATCCTGTAGCTCTGTGACACAGGAGAAGGTAGAGCCTCCAGCAAGGTGGGGGTTGGGGGTGGCAGCTCCCATGTGGATGAAATGCTTGGGTTTCTGAACATGTCAGACTCTGGAACTTGCATTCCTGCAGTGGTGGTTGTTCGTACAAAGCTAGTCACAAGTCTGTGAGTAGGTGCTAGTGAAGTATGTTGGCCCATGTTCGTGCTTGTGGAACATGGCACTGGTTTTGTGGTGGGTTTCTCAAGTTGCATTTCTAGTTGGGTAGATTTGTGTTTCTGCTGAGCCAAAGCCAGAGTAATAAGGAGATCAGAACTCTCCAGTGATTTCATTTGAAAAAGCCTGCTGATTCTTCTCTTTTAGACGCCACTGCAGCTGTTCTTTCTTGTTTGTGTATAAATAGTCTTCTGTGTTCCTTTTCCTGTCTTGTCTTTTTTATTGGGTGTCACAGGTCTTGCTCTGTCACCTGGGTACAGTGGTGCATGATCACAGTTCCCTGTAGCCTCCAGCTCCCAGGCTCCAGCAATCCTCCTGCCTCACCCTCCCAAGTAGCTGAGATTATAGGCAATCAGCACCATGCCCAGCTAATCTTTTTTAGATGTTGTATAGAGACAGCTTCTCATGGTATTGCCCAGGTCTTAGACTCCTGGCCTCAAGGCATCCTCTGACCCACCTCAGCTCCCAAAGCGGTGGGGTTACAGCTGTGAGTCCCCACACCCAGCCTCTGCCATTCTATTTCTTTTTTTTTTTTTTTTTTTTGAGACAGAGCCTCAAGCT